TAAATAAATAACTATATTTTTTTTAAAAAAAAAAAAAAAAAAGTATTGTTGGGTGTTACAGTATCTCTATGTGCATCATCTATATATATGATTAGTCAATGAGATCAACTAATCTTTATAATATAGAGACTATCATATATATATTAGTTTTACCGAATTATTAATGTCCTATTTTTGATGATTTAATGATTAAAAATATTTTAGATTAAATTATAAAAGATTTTACTCTCATTATCAAGATCTTTATCTTGATGTAAAATCTATAAATTTAATCAAGAAATTTATCATATAAATTAAACGATAAAATAACAAATATATTAATAAAAATATTATTATCAAATAATAATGTATTTAATATATTACACGAATAATTAGATCGTGAGCATAACATTTATATCACTTACACTTAACCTATTTAAGAAATATAAATGTATAATTTCTTGAATCATAATATAGGTAATATCAATTAGTGGGAATTCAAAGCTCTCAGTTGTAACTATGTACAAGTTAGGTAGACACTTGTCTAAGCATAATAGACCTAACATTATATTTCTTTCAAATGTATTATATTCCTAAAGATTTTATTATTTGATATATAAAATTTAATCATAACTTGCATCATGTGAACAAACACCACTCATAATCTTAATTTCAGAACAATAGATTTTGTATTTTCTATATGAAAGAGAAGAATCACAAAAATATTGAAACGTGAATCTATTTCAAATATTTTATTACAAATGTATTATATTCTCATTCATACTTCATAAAATTAAAATATGAACCAAAATCAATCAAATTAGCTAGGTTAGCGTTCCTCTTCTCATTTTTTTAAGAACCTTCACCTGCAATAGCTTTCTTTCTCACCCATTCCAGATTTTATTTTCTTCTCTGAATCATCCACAATAGCTGGTGGGATGTTATCCTAATATGACTTCCCATTCCTCATCTGTTTTGTTGTGATGATTTATTTAAAAATAAAAAATAAAAGTAATCACCAATATAAATATAAAGTTGTACAAAATTCATTAGAAAAAATATAAATTACAGAAAAAATTTTAATGTATTAATATTTTGCGATAATATAAAGTGTAATTATATAATCAGCTGCATGTTCAAACGACTTTTTGTTGTAAAGACTTAACTAAAAAAAATGTAAAAGTATAAGATTAATAGATATAGATTTATTTAAAAAAATATAAATGATATAGAAGTTTCTAATATATATTATGGAAAGTTTTTTATTATAAATAAATTTTTTCATTTTTTCTTAAAAATTAATTAATTTAAACAATAATTTAGTAACTCATTTTTGTCTATGTAATTAATTAAATTCATGCTTCTCACTTTTTTTTTTTAAAAGGTGGGAGGTATATGTTTATTTTATTAAAAGAAAAAATGAATTATTTTTCTAATTGTAATTTGGTTTTGCTTGTATACAATGCACCATCCTTAATTTTTTCATGTATTTTATTTTGTTTTTCTTTTTATTTTCTGTCACACTATTAATATAAAATAATATTGACATAATTTTAAAAATTTATTCAATGGAATTACATATGCATTTTTATATAATATATATTATGTATTTATAGGAAAATGGCATTTATGTGTATTTATAAATTATTATTCATCAAATCATTATAAAGATTTAGTTCTATAGTGCTATTATTGAGAATTAAATTAATTTTATTGTGCTAGCGAGAGAGGGAATGAGAATTAACTAATACTATATATATTTTTATGTTAATATTATCATAACAAGAAATAATAATTATATATTAATACAAATTTAAAATATAACCATAGGAGTATAAGATTCTATAAGAAAAGACAATCAAATTATCATATATTATTATTTTGAGTAAGCAACATAAACATTATTATAGTCTATCTACAAAGACAATTGAGGTACCTGTAGAATTCACGTGATATTACAATCATTGAAACAATTTAACTAAATTCTATTTAATATTTATAATGTTTATGATTAAATATAATTGATTAGAATATAATTACATATTTAACTAATTTTGATCAACATTCGTTCAACGACATATATGACATTGTCTAGTTCTATATATTTGGCATAAATTTTTAATCTTGTAAAAAATAAGACTAAGATTAAAACATATATACTATTTGCATTAAATGTTAATATGATTTAGTTATGAATTTGGTAGGGAATAAACAACTGAGGAAAATTGTAAATATTAATTTATTAATTATTTTTTGAGTGATTTAAAAAGAAAGGAATCGAAAATTTTTTGAAGGAATTGAAGAGATTAACTAAGTCACATATAGATGATTACATTATATAAAATCTTTAATTTTAAAATATAATATACTTACT